ATTGATATCTATAAAAATGGAAAGATATGTCCCCTAAAACGAAAATGACGTTTCGTAATAATCAAAATGATTAAACTTAAGATGATTTTGACGTCAAAATACTGTGAATACAAAAGCATACTAACTTAAAAGTACATTTGCAATGATATAAACTATGCATTATATTTTAAGAATGAAACAGACCACTGTAAAATTAAATTGATGGGAGACAAAAGTTATCCCCAAAAGTCATTTCTCTCTCCCTTCAACCTCGTTTTACAATTGTGCCGTAAGAACCCCTTTCAGTTTTAAGCCGATCTGCATTGAAGGGGTGACAGTCAAGCGGAAAGGATCCCTATGGGTAAATAGATCCATCTGTCTCTTTCCCGTGGTGAAACAGACGGGCTAATGGCAGCAACGAGAACCAGTGAAATGCAATTAATATCTAATGAACAATGGATAGAACAATTTAGTATTGCAAAAGCGAGAGAACAGTCGTAATAGTGTTATTCACAAAAGTAACACCCTTTCATTTAGTATTTTGCAGGGTCATATTCTTTTTCTAAATCTGCATCTAAAATTTGATAAACTAGTACTGAAATTTAAGAAGGTAAAAGCTTCAAGGATGTTGTGCATTGGACATGTCGCTTTCGGAAAACTTTGAACACTTGTCGTTAGGAATGCAACAATTGAAGGTGCCAAGAGTGTGTAGCTAACAATTCTTCTTACAAAATCCTGCATTATATATGTAAATAAATTATATGTGTGTGTATTAACCTCAGATGTGAATATCACTTACAAATGGATTTATACTTCATACAGAAGCGAAAAGAAACGATATCGTAGTTATAACGAAGGTAACAAGAAAGAAGCTAACAGAACATCCACATTTTTCCTCAGAATCGTTCAGCGATTTTCTGTTCAGGAACACTAGACCTAAAATAATGAAAGAGTAGGACCTGGTGCATACCAGTTTCATATTCAAGTATAGACTTGAAATTCACACTGTATCAAGATGCACCAGAAAAGCGTGATACTAAATCAACAAGCTCAAGAAAAAATAACGCTTGTGTCAGAATCTTGAAAAAATAATAAAGAATCAACAGTACACTGAAAATCCGAAAAATTACTTACAATTCAGTTCATTAAGAAATTTTTTAATCCCCTCCATCAATTCAAGTACCTTAAAATATGTACTAAAATTGTGTTTCTAGATAGCTTCTATCTTACCGATGTTGCACTGAAAAAGAACAACACTGAAATGGAAATGAATATTAAGGTATCAGGCTGTAGAACTATCCCACATATCAAACCGTGTCTTCCATACTACCAGCCGAAGCCGAATACTTCAGACAGACAAAGCTGAATCTTCGCTACCGAAACTTAACCAGCTTTAATTCAGTAACAACGATTTCAATTCTAGACCAGGATGATGCAAAGTGAAATGCGAACTAATGATAACATTTTCCCCCATGGAGATTCACAGTAATTCATTTAATTCTAAGCGAAATAAGCTACAGAATGCCATTTAACTACTTTTCAGTTAAAGTACTGGTTACACACAAATGTGATACACCAAAGATTTGAGAAATTCAGTATTTTTCGATACGGCAAATTGGTAATTATTCAGTGTTTACGCATAGGTTCTTCACCAATTAACAGAAAGTCATCTATCTACACATCCATTTCTACTATATTAATTTTGCAAGATTAAAGTTTTGAGTACGCTCAAGTAATTTTCCCATGAACGTATCTGTTAAATTTCTGCGAGTGGATTTTCGTTCAGAATAAAATCTTACAATATAAATCTAATAACCTTTTTAAACTTAAAGACACACGATTTGATTTTATACAAGAGTCGCAAGTGCCAAAAGAAAAATTCATCTATTGAATACATTAAAAAGCATAAAAGCAAACAATCTAAATAGACAGTGGCCTTTTCTCTCGTTTCATGAACTTACGGAAAGCACACTGCGTACCTAGTTAAACACACACTTAGAATTCCCTACTAAAGCTTTCATCACAAGTTATTTAATCATCAAGTTAAGTGCGTTAAGGATGCAGACACAAAGCACTTTCACTGTCTATCCAATAAACATTACTCGTTTTATGAGATGGAAATATCTGAAAGTTCAGTAACGAAATTTTTTTTTCGGGGGGGGGGGGAATTCTGACCTTTTTCAATTAAAACTCTGTAGTAAGAATTCCTTAAAATTTTTGGAAAAAATTGACAGGTTTAAATGTTAGCAGCATTTTGGTCACCAACCATTTGACAAGAACTATATCCGAATATTAATGCTCTGCAGTACATTTATTCTTGTTTAGTACACTCTAACTGGCTCTAATCGCAGATATAAAAAAAATTCACATTTAAAATTCTGTAAAAGAGAGAAACACGGAAGCCACAGTTCTATTCTAAATTGAATTTACTGAAATATTCTTAGTAAAAGTGTTTGTGTCATACTTTTATTAAGTGTAATACACCAGAAAAAACATACACATTATTGTCATGGTTTATAAATATTACTTTCCTCATTTTTCACGGAAGCCACAGTTCTATTCTAAATTGAATTTACTGAAATATTCTTAGTAAAAGTGTTTGTGTCATACTTTTATTAAGTGTAATACACCAGAAAAAACATACACATTATTGTCATGGTTTATAAATATTACTTTCCTCATTTTTCACGGAAGCCACAGTTCTATTCTAAATTGAATTTACTGAAATATTCTTAGTAAAAGTGTTTGTGTCATACTTTTACTAAGTATAATACACCAGAAAAAAAGCAACACATTATTGCCATGGTTTATGAATATTACTTTCCTCATTTTCCATTATTACCGAATATTACGGCGTATAACGAGCATCTGTAATTTCAAACTACATTAAAAAAATTTTTTTTTAGTTATATTCGCCTGCAACGCGCATCCTTTTCGTTACAAAGAAACCTGAAAGATATATATGCGATGCTATTATCATCTGAAGTCATTCATTCGATGATTTTTCGTACATTCAACTGACAAGCAATAAGGGGAACAATATGTGTGTTGGGAAAATGCTTGAGAGAGTAAATAATTCTGCTAGGAGGGTGGATTGCATTTAATGCAGGTGTGTACAAGAATGCTGTTCTAGGGTTTCGAAAAAGGAGGAAATAATTTGGGACACGAACGTGATTCCGACCCGAATGAATTCGCGGAATTAGGAGTCAGATGTTTCCTCTTTCTGCAGTAACTTAAAGCCGTGATTTTGAAGTGAACATCGAAGGCTTTATTAAATCGCATTTGCTTTAGCTGAAATACAGTTGATTTAGTGATTTTAGAAGTAAATATGGCTCCTACCAAACGAACCAAGCATAGTGCTGGTTTCAAATGCAAAATCATTCAGTTTGCGAAAGAAAATGGAAATCGTGCTGCTCGGTGTTTAAGTGCTAATGCTTTGAGATATTTTAATCTGGCTATTTATTTAACATTTGTAATAATAATCCCTTTCTTTTAATAATCTTTTAGAATCATTTCTCAAAAATGAATGTGTATGCCTTGATGCTACACACTCATTTTTCTTTTTCTGATTTCAATTTTAAATACTAAAAAAGTAATTAGCAAACGTTTATTGTAATCTTAACAGATATTTGCATTACAAACAGTGCTGGGATGGGAATCTTCAGTATCGACTGAGACCCCCCCAAAAAAAAGTATATTTAAAAAACAATTTTTAAAGGGTAACAATTATGCCACACAAAAATATTTAAACATCGATGCTTAAAAAATTGGAGACTTTGCACAAAAAATTAACACAGTGTTACATTCGGAAAAGAAATTATCGGCTCTCTACTCCCTTCTGTTTCGACGTTAAAAGACCCAAAACTGCTTTAACAGCTTCCTCTTATACTTTAATGGGTGTCTGCACTGCTCTAATGGGCCCAAGTTGAGAAGGACGTAAAGCTTTACGTGCGTGAAATTCAGCGCACTTTTGGTGACAATTGCGCAATAAAGCAGGTAGAACGAATCAAAAGATAAAACGGTTCGCTCGTTTTAAATCCATCCACCAGCTAGACAGGCTAAAATATGAAGAAAATTTCAGAGAACATGCCAACAAATGAGATGTTCATAATGGAAAATGCAACTGCAGATAAAGATAGCCGATCTAAAGATAACGGACGTGCTTGGCTGAAATAATCTTGTACGGATAATGATCTCGATAAGCTAGAATTACAACACTTAATGACATCAAAGAGAGATGGCCTTTAATAGCTTCCAACAAATAAATTAAGGCCCAGAAACTACAGAAGCATGAAAAATACTAATGTTTTCTCAATTAAACAGGACTTTTTTTAAACTCCTAAGTTTAATCCGAGTTTAACTAACTGAAGCATCAGAAAGTACATTACAGCTCACAAACTGCATTAGACCGAAGACGTGAAATGCGATCAAATCTGTAAAATCAGCTTTTGTCTAATGATGTATAAAATAAATTAACTGTAAAAATAATTTTATCTTTCATCTTGAATCCCAAGGGCGTTAAAAACTGGCGTCTTTTTAGACTAAGGTTCGAGTTTACCAAAATAATGTAATTTAATTCTTTTCAAAATGAGAAATGCATATTATATATATATATATATATATAATTTATTTACTAACGATATATATGTAAGATAAAAATATATGAATCAAAATTATAGATTAAACTATAAACATTACCGGCTTTTCCTTTCCTTTGCTTTTATTATGACATATATATCTATATATATATATAAAATTCTGCTAAAACACACATAAATTTCACTTCCCTTTTTAATACTAAATAAAAACAGCTACTGCTATCAAATAAATTCAAGTCTTAAAAGTTTAATTAAAATAGTTAAAAACATACAGATTGCAATGCGCATATTGTTACACAATTATATTATTTATTATCATTGTCTGTCCTTTTTTGAACATTACAGCAAATAAAAATTAAGAGAATGATATACAGCGATAATATGAAAGTAGTAAGAAATGTACTGTATCCTAAGATCTGTTACCTGTATTTTAAATATTCTACTTTGTGCAACGCATGCAGAATAATCTGATACTTTGCCCTTATATGACCGTATAATGGCTTGACTTTGGAATGTAGATTTATGTAGTTGCGGGTTCCGGATGATACCCGATTAATCTAAGCAAGCCGCCCGAGTGTCTGGACCTGCTCTCACCTGTAGGGAAAACATATACCTTAAGATGTCAGAAACATATTTTATTTACAGCAAATCGCACAAATACTTATAAAAGTCTTCAAAATTGGGAAAAAATAACAAAAAAAAAAAAAAAAAAAAAAAAAAAAAAAACGCCAGATGAAATTTCGCAGAACTACTTCAAATAGCACGCATTATATTGAAAAATCTTCTTATTGCCATAAATTAAGCATTAAAATGAGTACTGAGAAGCATATTATATTTTTAAATAGCCCGAATTTTGCACTGATAAGTCATGCATTATTACAATGCGGAGGTAAATGAAAGATAGTAAAGCTGTGTAGACTGACAGCAGCTTTGAATTTAGACCGAACGCGATTCTTTAGGAAATACGAAAACGTTACCGTTTTCGGATTAGTAAAGCGTTAAAACAATATTTACAGTTTATGTAATTGTGATAAACTGCCCCACATATAAACTCGGTCTACAGTTATTTATTTCTTTTACACAGCCTAAGGCTATTTATTTCTTTTAGGATACATTGCATAAAATATTCACCTTGGGAGATTTAAAAACCATCTCGCAAACAATTCTCTGGCGTGTCCAATGCAAGATATTCTAGGAACATTATTCGATATTTTCAACAAATGGTGCTTTAGCTTTAAGAAGAAAGTCCATGCTTTTGGTTGGCTATGACGTATGGACCGAGTTTTACGTTGACATCATTTCCCACCCACTGTCGCACATAAAAGGGAAGTTTGGTGATGTACGAAGGAAGAAAAATAAAAGTCCGAGAAACGTTTTCCTCGAGACACAACGGTCATGATTACACCACTTTAATGCCGGTGATCGATTGAAATTCTATTGGTGCAAGACTTACTGGAGAAGGGAGGAGAGGAAATAAAAACTTTGAAAATGTTTTCTTCTCCACGATGAGGAGTGAGGAAGGGAGGTTGAATCAGAGAAACTATGTTTAAACTGGAGGTACAATAAACTTTAAAAAATATCCACCAACGGCCAAGCGGTTAAAGACCTCTGAATATTGGTAGTTCTTCCAGGGTTTCGAACCCAGGCGAACAGGCTGGGCTATACAGTTGGTTTTTTCATCTTGTGTACTGTGAATACGAGCCAATATGGCTTCGAAAGTCGTCCACGAAGGCATTCTTCCTTCTTGGCAGATAGCCCTCGTGTATTTTTCTGTATTCAAACAATCAACCAACTTAAGATATTTGTGCTGGAACACATATCTTGAACTTGTCTAGGAACACTTGTTAAAAAGGTGCTACTTATTAATTTCGTACTCATGCACAGGTTCGGTTATCCACGGCGTATCATTCTCCTTCCCCCGAACAATACATGGATTTTAATGAAAGTAATAGTACCTGATTTATAAAACGCACGTCGAGTGTGAACAAGTCCATAACACGGTGAAACACAAAAATTCAAACACTCCTAGGGCAATCCCAAAAATATACATCAACTCGCATAACTTGTAGTTGATACTAAATGCTGGTAACATCTTACTGTGCGTAATGTATCATTTATATTTTATCACATTTATTTTGGTACATGTACCTCGCTTATAGCATTCGACTGGAACGTACGTAGGGACCTTCAGGCATTTATTTCGAAGCAGAAGACGTCAAAAATGTGCAATGCTGTCACCGGGATTCGTAAGTTGAGCCTTCCGACTGGTAGCCAGACGTGCTTCCAGTTACATCACGAAGGCACGCGAGAGGGAGGGAGAAAATATACGTACTTTAAGGAACTAAGACATCGTTCGCATGTATTCTTGCGGTAAAAGAATAAGTACGCCACTCTATTAGTCGATAGGCCTGTATCCTTCTTCAGGTAGAACATAGCATATTTTCAAGAATCCTTCGATATTTATTCGTAAAAACTTCAGCTACAGGAGAACTTAAGACTTGTTGTTAATTAAATTTTAGAAGCTTCCCGCCACCTCCACTTCTTTATTATTAAATTTTAACAGCCAAAACAAAATCTCACAATATAGATCGAAGATATGACAATACTTTCTGTCTGAAGCCTTTTCTAATTTCATTGCAAAGTTAAAATCAATAACGTTTAGAAAAGTATCCGTATAATTTCATTATTCACGCTAGTTTTCTGAGAAAATCAATTCTCATTAATTTATTTACATTATTACAAAGACAGCCTTAAACTATTATGGACGTAAACTGCCTTCAGATACAATGCAATGTTCTCTGAATACTGAAATTAATAAATAATTATAAAGCTACACGCTTCATCACACATGTAATTAAATATTAAATAAACATATTAATTTTTAAAGAAATAGATAATTTTAAATGTATTCCTTTCATATAATAATAACTACACATAGCATACTTTCACACTTATGTATCCAGCAGATAATAAATCACTTATTCCTGCGCAAATTCCTTTATTCTTTCCATTCACCATTTTCCCTCTTCGAACAAGTACTATCATCTCGTGATAGTACTTGTTCTGTGATAGCTACGTGACATAGTAACTGCATAATTCTAAGCTCTCATTTAACTATCTCCCTCTTTTAACATTTATCAATGACAAAGAGTGTTGTAATTTATTGCATGCGTGCGGATTGTTCAACTTCGTTGGACCACGATTCCGTAATGAAAAGCAGAGGGCACAAATAATATACATTTTGCGACGACTACTTTAAAGAAACAATCAAAAGACAGACTATATCCATAGTCCAAATCGATCCAAAAAAGTTTTTAAGAAATTTTATTAAATTTATATCAATAAGCACTTTTTTTATTCAACACGCATATAAATATTAAAATGTAATTCACAAACTGTGTATAAAATACATACCTATGTAAATACTAAATTGTTATCAATGCACTGACATGATTTCCTTCCATATTTTATCCTACATCTCAGTTAGGATATTTTAACTACCTCGAAATTTTGTCTCAAAATTCAGCTCACTGTCAAGAGGAGATACACTTGCTTTTCTGTTACTATATTCTCGAGCTTATTTCATAAAAAAATTTAAGTGTCAGATCAAAGCTTACTATTTTATCATCTTTATAAAGGTTAATGCTGTATGAGGACATGAAGAGTGGTATCCAATAATCAAGAACAAGTTTTCCGCCATACATTTCTCAGCAGCAAGACAAAGTTACCATTTGTCTATACACAAAGGTTCTATAAAATTTCATGGAATCCAAAAATATTCTGAGTAATATAAGGAGATCTTTCGGACAGGGTATATTTAATTAGCTTAATTAACTACAATGAACTGAAAAGATTAGTTGTTAAGTGAGGGCTGCCTTTTTAGTACAGTAGCAGCCCGAGTACTCGGCATTCAATTAATCGGAAAGCAGTAAAAAAGGAACATCTTAGAATTTCAGAAACTTCTCCCCTCCCAAATTAACCCTCTGAGACGCCAGGGTTTTCGCTAAGAAGGCACAAATTTCCCAAAACTACTATGAGAACAATTTTTTTTTTTGGGGGGGGGGGGTTAATGTAAAAACTCTCCTGGAATTTCATACTTGGATTTGTGTACTTTTGATATGTTGCCTTAATTTCTTTGACATATTTTAATATGCACGTATATATACGTTCTTACAGATATCACAAAAAATATTCTAGGCTGTATATATACGGCCTTGCCGCTTAGAGAGTCTTAAGCAAATGAGAGAGTTGTAAAACCACTATAAAGTACGTACAGAATACTGTCGTCAAAACAGTTTGGTTTGGTATGATAGAATAGTTAAGTAAACTAGGGCTATCTGCCTAAAGGGAAGGGCTTTCTAAGGAAACTGGCTCGCATATACGTTATATATGCGAAAAACCACGAAAATGTCCATGCAACCAGCTCGTTCGCCTGGAATCGAACCCAGGTCGGAACTACCAGCGTTCAGCGATTTTACCGCTCGGCCGTTGGAGGGCCTCCAAATAGTTTGGATTTAGCGCCAATAATGGATAAGCGTGACATCACAACACAACCATAATATTTTCACCTTAGTTTTACGTATACGCGATTAATTCTCAATAAGCTAGTTTAGTTTTTGTAAAGAAGGATATAAGCTAGTTACTGTGTCTTTTTCTTTGGTTTTTACCCCCCCTTTTTTTGGATGCTGGCATCAGCAAAGGCCCACCACTTATGTATGGCTTAGTGGCCAAATGGTTAAGCCTGCTGAATACTGTTAGTTCGATTAGAGTTCGAACTAAAGGGAATCGGCTGGCTGCATAGTTGGTTTTCCTGGTTTCCTCCGGGTGTAATGTGAATACCAGCCAATTTCCCTATAGGAAGTCCTCTACGCAGGTATCTTTTCCCTCAGGCTGATAGCTCTCGGTGTTTTGCTATACTCAGATAACCGAACCTGGCATCAATAAAGCGGTGAAAATGGCTGAGTGGTAAAATAGCCAAACACTGGTAGTTTGACCTGGGTTCAATTCTAGGCACAAGGCTTACTACCTGGGCGTTTTCGTGGTTTTCCCCATTTTTAATTTAGATACGAACCATTTCGCTTAGAAAGTTCTCCTTCTCCTTAGGCAGACAACACTATAATCAAACAAAGCAAACCAAGAAAGTGTGCGTTAATAGACACGATATGCGACTCCATTCGAAAGCGGATAAACATTGGCGATGCAACATGGAAAATTATTGCTAAGGGAATTTTTTTTAATGCTGTATCCGTGACTTTCAACTGTTGATTACCTAACTAAATTTAGTTCTTTTAAAATTCTGCCGGAAAGACTGGCGTTAAGTTTGGAGTTCCATAATCGAATAACATATTTTACTTTCAATGTGTTTAAAGCCTTTGAAAATACTTCGACTATGAAGGTAGGGAACTTATCCGAGCCTTGGATAATTTCAAATGTAGGCTTTTGACATACCAACTTTTTCAAAAATGGCATGAGATAAAATGAAACAAAATGTAAGTTTTGTAATACTTATGAGTTACATATTCCGGTATCTTTGTTTCTTCAAGGCAAAATACAAATACCCGAAAGAAGTTGATAAGCAATTTACAGTAGATAAG